CCCCCTGCAAGGCGCGGTGCTCATCGCGCTGGCATGCCGCCGAGGGGAAAGCTCCACGACCGCTACGCACACACGACTTCCCCTGGGGCATACAAGCAGCCAATCAAGCGGAGCGTCAACAGATAGCACTAGCCAACGAGCTATACAGGACAGCTCTACTACTCATCACCACGGGCCTGCAGTACAACGTATCAGCCGTACTCGAGCATCCCGCTCCAGCCACCTGGTGCCCTCAAGCGCCTAGCAGCTGGCAGCGAGCAGAGACGCGCTGGCTTTTGGAGCAGACGAACGTCGAGCTGCACAACATAGACCAGTGTCAGTTTGGGCAGGCTGCGCGAAAGCCAACATGTCTCATGGCGGTACACCTCAGCGAACTTACACAGGAGCTGGGGGCGGTACCTGGAGGACAGCTATGCCGACATAACGGACATGATAGAGCTTACGGACGAGACGGCCAAGGCGGCTGGAGGACCGCCCCCCTCAAAGAATATCCTTCAAGGCTGTGCAAGGCAATGGCTACGGCATTCGCAGCCCACTGGGGACAGCTTGCTGACGAAGAGGCAATGTGGGCCGAAACGGATGAATGTTATCACAGGTTCTACGCCCCCTTGGACTACTACATCGAGTCAGAGCAGCTGGGCCACGACTGCCACAGGGCATGGGGTAACCAACGGCGCTAGCAGCTGACACTGCAGCGGCACTACGTTTGGCTGCACAGACATTCGAGTTTAATTGTTTCAGGATTATTCGTACTTGCCATACCCTGGAAGGGACCATCGGTTGGCAGTTTGGCGCATACTATTGACATCTTACAGATTGGAGGGCAGCTGGCATGGCAGAATTGCGTACAGTTGGGTAATAGTTCAGAGCAGGCGCGTCAGCATCAGCGCACCACTGTATGTATTCAAGACCCGCATTGCTTCTGGGTTATTGGCACGGCTGCGTCTTGGACAGCGATTGCGTGCCATACTCGAGGGGGGGGGACCCGTAGCGCCCATACGGGTGGGCACGATCCCTCAACGGCGACGGAGCGTGCCCCCCCCTCGAGCACTTCTGGATGTTTCAGCTTTCTTTCAACACTGGCATTTACTTCTATGATTATCCAGCGCCCTGGACAAGGCACTATGGTGCCATGGTGTAAGTCCTGAGGAAGCCCCGAATGCGAGGGAAGACCTCAGGCAGCGTCGCCTTGCTTTGCCCTGTTAGAACGCTAGTCCTGGGGAAGCCCCGAATGCGAGGGAACACCCCAGGCATAAGTCGCCACGTTTTGTTGTGTACCCTGGCGGCGACTGGCTACCTACAACTTGGACGGCGCCAGCTATCTACAACTTGACGGCGACAGCATACCCAGCACGACCCCGCACACCTCCGACCAAGTCAACGCTGTCCTGGTGAGGATCAAACTTCGAGACGGGCTCGAAGGGCGGGGGGGAAGGACGAGTACTTCCCGCGCCCACCAGCGGGGATGGTGAGGGGCAGGGGGGGGGTAGGACGGCCACTACCTGCGCCCCCGCGGTCCGCCCTAGCTCGCCACCCCCACCATTCCCACGGAGAAGGAGGAGCTACCCGAGCGCCCGAGGGCGAAGCACAGGACAGCCGAGACATCCCACTTCGACGACAAGTACCAGGCCTGGGGTCCGCCCCCACCGAGGGCACTGCGACCCCTGGCCATAGCGGGACGAGGTGGGACAGCCACGACCCCCACTTGAAGTCGGTGCATGGAGGCCTTGGAAGCCCACAACCAACGCAACACCAGCAACGACCCGACCCCCAACGACCTGACCAGCACGCTCCACACCCTGCACTCAGCCCTACAAACAACCGACATCTACAACATCCGAGATCAGCACCCTCCTGTACTACATAGGCGGGGGTGGCAGGACTGACGACATTGGACACTACGGCTAGCGAGTACCAGTACGACCAAGACTGGACAGGATCAAGCTGGAGTACCAACCCGTCCAGTGCGTCTAGGACGAGGGATACGTGTTCGAGCACCACAGTGTCAGGCAGCACTGCAGGTTCAACATGGAGTACTCGACGAGAAGGGGCGGCCTGCCCCTCGGCGAGGGATACACAGCGCCAGGCGCCGAAGGGTGTATCCCCGTCGCCCTCGCGTGGCATGCGAGGGGCCGAGGCCTGCCGGCCTGGATCGGCATGATGATGTGAGCAACCACTGCAGACCTGCTGGAGCCCAAGAGCGGCTAGGCGGGCCTCCACAGCGTGCTGCGCCGAAGGGTGGAGGCCGCCGCAGCCGATGGCAGCCAGCCACCCGAAGACCCACGGCGGCTGGGCTCAGCGCGAGGCGCCGAAGGGAGCCCAGCCGCCACCCACGCGGCCGCCAGCCCACAAAGAGGCCGACGGCCTGGCCGAGCGCCGCGCTGGCTGACGCCCGCTGGCACGGGCGCGCGCGGCGCCCGCCCGTGGGCCCTGACGGGCCCCCTTTTTCTTTTTGCAGAAACCCGGCCCCCCTTCTCCCTCCTCTGTGGTTTAAATTGGTCCCTGGCTCCCCCTGCTTTCCTCGGGGTCGGGTTCCCGGGGCCGCTGTCCGAGTGCCCGCACGGCCCTGGTGGGCCGCTGCGGCGCGCTCCGCGCCCGCGGGGCGCGCGACAAGACGCTGCATAGCGAGAAATGAGAAATGAGAGGGGGAGAGAGAGAAGAAAGAGGAAGAAGAGGAGGAGGAGGAGGTGGAGGAGGAGGAGGAGGAGGAGGAGGGGAGCGGGCCAGACAGATAGCACACGCCTGGGCCCTCCTGGGCCCCCTTGGGCCCAGGAAAGGCGCCCACAACCGCGGCGCCGCCATTCGACACATCCTCGCAACCGCGGCGCCGCCGCTCGAGACATGCCCTGGGGGGGGGAGGCGGGGGGGCGGGATGGCGCCGCCGCTCGGGCATCCACGCAACCGCGGCGCCGCCGCTCGGGACATCCTCACGACCGCGGCGCCGCCGCTCGAGACATCCTCACAATCGCGGCGCCGCCGCTCGAGACATCCTCGCAGCCGCGGCGCCGCCGCTCGATACATCCTCGCAACCGCGGCGCCGCCGCTCGAGACATCCCCACAACCGCGGCGCCGCCGTTCGACACATCCTCGCAACCGCGGCGCCGCCGCTCGGGGCATCCTCGCAACCGCGGCGCCGCGGCCTCCCCAGGGGCGCGCACCAGGCAGATAGCACACTGCCCTGGGGGGGGGAGGCGGGGGGCGGGATGGCGCCGCCGCTCGGGGCATCCTCGCAACCGCGGCGCCGCCGCTCGGGGCATCCACGCAACCGCGGCGCCGCCGCTCGAGACATCCTCACGACCGCGGCGCCGCCGCTCGACACATCCTCGCAACTGCGGCGCCGCCGCTCGAGACATCCTCGCAGCCGCGGCGCCGCCGCTCGAAGTATCCTCGTCCTCCTCATGCTGCTCTCGTGCTCCTCGTGAACATCACCCTCCTCCTCCTCCTCCTCCACCTCCTCCTCCTAAGAAGCCCTCCCCTACCCACGGGCGCACCAGGCAGATAGCACACTGCCCCGGGGGTGGACGGGGGGGGCAGCGAGGCCACGGGGCGTGGCCAGATGAGGTAGGGGAGAGCGGGGTGGGCAGGCTCCCCTTTCCCACGGGCGCACCAGGCAGATAGCACACGCCCCGAGGGGGGGCACACATTCTAAGACAAGTTGGAAGCGGGCCAGACAGATAGCACTGCGAACATGGCGTTTCGCCCAAACACGCGGGCCAGGCAGATAGCACACGCTGCACGGCTCTTTCGCAAACGCCATGTGACCGTTAGGGAGTATACCTCCTCCTCCTCCTCCTCCTCCTCCTCCTCCTCCTCCTCCTCCTCCTCCTCTTCCTCCTCCTCCTCCTCCTCCTCCTCCTCCTGGTCCTACCTCCTCTGGGGAGCCTCGGAGGTCTCTCGATCCCGCGGGAGCCCCTTCCCCGGAGGACCTTCTTGTTTCGATGGGCATCGAGCGGGGCAGCTCCTGCTGGAACACTCTTTTGGGCAATGATAGGCTGCGCTCACGGGTGCAACGTGCAAGGCGACATAATCGTAGCTCGCGAGACGGTCGGCGGGGCCAGCCTGGGGCCAACTATCGCCCTGTCTTTTCGCTGGTCGCCTCGGTCTCATCACCGCACGCCGCCGCTCGAATTTGAGTAATGCAGGCGGGAAGCTCTGTCGGGTCAGATCCCCGATGCCCTTGCACCAAGTCGAGAAAAATAAGCAGTAGCCCCTCCACTCATACCAAACAGAAAGGCCCCACGGCGCTCAATGAAAAAACCATCATCAGCATCATAAGCATCATCATCATCATCATCATCATCATCATCATCATCATCATCATCATCATCATCATCATCATCATCATCATCATCATCATATCATCATCATCATCATCATCATCATCATCAGCATCATCATCATCACCATCATCATCACCATCAGCAGCATCATCATCATCATCAACATCAGCAGCAGCAGCAGTATCATCATCAGCAGCATCATCACCATCGGCATCATCAGCACCATCAGCATCATCATTGTCGTCATCATCACCAACATCACCATCATCATTATCGACAACAGCATCATCATCGTCATCATCAGCATCATCAGCATCATCATCATCATCATCATCATCAGCATCGTCCTCGTCACCTTCCCCCTCCTACTCCACGTCATCACTCCTTATCTCTCTCCCTCTCCCTCTCTCTCTCTTTCCCGCGGCATGCGCAGTCCTCCTCCTCCTCCTCCTGCGTTGTTCTTCTCCCCCCGCTCCTCCCCCCCCAGCTCTCCTCCTCCTCCTCCTCCTCCTCCTCATCCTCTTCCTCCTCCTCTCAAGCAATATGGGCTCGAGCGCAAGTCCCTCGCCCCCGTGCGCAGGGCAGTTTCTCGCTCCGAACCCAGCCTCGGTACCTCCCCGTGGTGCTTGGGGCACACCACTTCTCTCGGGCTGAAGATCTGCCCGTCTCTCCCGTGATAGAGTGGTGACGAAATCCGAGGTTTCCAGCATCCATGGCGCCATGGTCGACATGCCGCTCGTGTGGGCAGTGTGAATACAACGACAGACTCGAGCAGCGTGATCGTAAGTGTGCCCGCTGTGGACGCAAGGTGAAGCTCTACGTGCTGAGGCCCAAGAGTCCCAGCGCGCCGCCGAAGGGTATCATCAAGAACGTGAGCTTCGCCAAGGATAGTAAGGATAGTGATGCAGGTAGCAACCAGTCCACGCCCCGCAGCTCCAAGACGGGCAAGGGGACGCGTGGACAGGCTGGTGAATCATCAGCCCGCACCCTCCTCGAGCAGGCGATCGCTGCCGCGCAGGATCCCAAGTTGAAGGAGGCTTTGACGCAGCAGGTCGCCCAGCTCAAGCGCGAGGAGGCTCAACACCAGCAGCCCAAGGATGCGCTTCCATCTCTTCAGAGGGCTGACAGTGCTTGGGGGGATGCCAACAATCGCCATACCCAATCAGTGCAATCAGTCCTTCGCATTCGTCGGCAACTAGAGGCAGCGGAGCTCAAGGAGCGTCGTCTTGCCGAGGAGCTGGCGGAGGCGACCATCGTGAAGCAGCAGGCCGCGCGTGCGCTGGCAGCGGCCGAGGGAGTTGTGCCCAAGCCAGAGGGGAAGGCCGACGACAAGTGTGGCAAGCCCTTCGAGCTAGTGTACGACCACACGCTGTTCGACAATCTTGACGAGTTGGAATGCGAGGACTCCGAGAAGGAGACCTTGAGGAAGATTCATAGCGAGCTGCAGTCGGCCAAGACCACCCTCAATGGCAAGGCTGATGAGGTCACCATGATGCTCAAGAACGCCCAGGACATGCGCCAGGCCATCAAGGACCGCTCCATGAAGAAGAGGCGCACGGCCGAGGGCCAGGCCGCACCCCCCGCAGCGCCGCAGCCAGGCGAGGCCGCGCCCGCAGCCAGCGGAGGCAGCGGCAGCGGCAGCCAGGCAGCGGCGGCGGCAGCGCCGCAGGCGCCCGAGGGTGCGGCCGCAGGTGCGGCTCCAGCAGATGTCCATGCAGAGCGAGTTCGTGCTGAGACAGCCAAGCTCTCAGCCGCCAAGTTCCAGTCCCAGCAGCATCTGTCGGAGGATCCGACCCCTGCGTCATCTTGACTAGGGGTGGCATCGAATAGCACGAGCGATGACAAGTATACGCAGCTTCTGTTTGGCAGCGTTACCGCCATGGGGGAGAAGGTGTGGAACTTCGTCCGTAGGGCTCGTGAGAATGACACCCATCAGATTTTTTGTTTTGTGGAGACGCACGTTTCCCGCACTGCCTTGCGTGAGTGGACGAAGAAGTCCCGTCAGCCTTGTCTCAGATTAGTTGCCAAGAGATCATTTTTTTATTCCGGCCGGCAACGCTCGTTACCCGGGGGGGGGGGGGGTCGTGCCCCCCGGGTAACGGTAACGCTTGGGCTGGGCGGGGCATGGCGAAGCAGGGGCGCTCTGCGATCGCCATAGTATGCGCGCGAGCAGCACTCTCTGCCTGAGAGCACCACAGTGGCTTGCGATTCGAGTACAAGCGCAAAGCCCGCCGCGTGGTCCCGGCACCACGCCCGCGCCCGCGCGCGCGACGACGATGATCGACGAGCGACGAGCGACGAGGTCGACGACGACGACGACGACGTTTGCCGCCTGTTTCGGCCTCCGGAGGCCGTTTTCGGGCGCCGTCGACGACGACGACGACGACGACGACGACGACGACGACGACGACGACGACGACGACGACGATTCGAGTACAAGCGCAAAGCCCGCAAGCACCAGCATCGCGCATGCGAGCGCCGCAATGGCCTGCGAGCGCCCACAGTGCGCCTGCGACCACCACACCACAGTGCGCATGCCTTCGGGCACCAGCATGTTGGAGGGGAAGACCGAGACCCCCCCCGCGTACGAGCGTTACCGTTACGGGGGGGGGGGGGGGGGGGAGAGGCCCGGGTAACGAGCGTTACCCCCCAGAGGATAAAAAAACAATCTCCAACCCAGCTCGGGCTACAGGCAAATCCACGACTGCACGAGGATTCGAGAGAGCCACTGAAGGAGGTGAGTGGATTTTGGCCCCTGGACACTACCAGGTGCACCCACTTGCCCCCCAGCTGACATTGCCAGAGTATCAGTTTGACGGCCAGTCGGCCACAGACGGCTTCACGGCAGTAGTTGTGCACATGTCAGGCTACTCGGTCGTGATCATTACATTCTACGGTTTCACTTCGGTCGGCATCGCCGACGATAATATCGCTCGCTTCTCGAAGCTAGGAGCTTTTCTGTCATCACTCCAGTTGCCCTGGATAGCGGTGGGAGATTGCAGCGTTTCTTCGACATCTCTTGCCGCATCGGGGTTTTTAGCACGAGTCGGGGGCGAGGTCGTGAAGGCCCCCATCGATTACACGTGCGACGCTGGAAAAAGTGGCAGTCACATTGATTATGTTGCGCGTAGCTTTGCAGCCGCCGCGTACCTTGTAGATGTGCAGGCGGCCCTGTCTGTCCCATGGAAGACCCGCTGCGGTTTGCAGCTGAGTCTCCGATCGACTGCCAGTCAGCTACTCACACGCCGACTCGAGCTGCCAGCTCGCCTCCCCCAGGTGCCTAGGCCAGTCCGTCTTCCCACGCCAGGATCGAAGTCGCAGCGTGCCAAAATTGAGCGCACAGCTGCCACTCAGCTTGCAGTCGAGAAGCGTCGCGATCGGCATCTAGAACTTTTTGGCGACCTCTGGAAGGCTGCCGACGATGACACCTTCGGATCTGGCACTTCCAGCACGGCAGCTCCAGCTTCGGGCCCAGACAGTGACGAATTGAATCAGCTCAGTGAGGACCCCCTCGACCATCTCTTGGATGGTTACGAAGAGGAGGACCCTTGGGCCAATGAATCTTGCCTCCACCACCGCCCCAATATTTCGGAGCCCGCTGCCCAGCCCGCAACCAGCAGCGGAACCATGGTGGAGCCCATTTCGTCAGAGCAAGGCAACGTGTCATCGAGTTCTATGGGGGCTGCCGTGACTACGTTCCCCACTGGACACGCCGTCGCGGACAGCGGAGTGCGCGTCGAGGCAGCGCCCAGCGGGGTGGAGCCCAACACTCGGCCTTTTGTCTGGAATCCCGATGCTCATGTTTTCAAGTTGCCTCAATATGCTCCGTGCATTGAGTGGGGTCTGGTTCCTCCAGTGGATGCTTGTACACCGTCAGTTCCCAACGAGTCGACCACCCATCCCAGCGAGTTTCAAGAGCCGCCCCCCCAAGGTTTGGAGAACACCGGGGTCAGCTTCTTTATCCCAGCCGAGACCTGGATCGAAGCCAGGACGGCGGTCGGGTTTATCCCAGAATACCAGTGCCCTCCCCCCGCTGCTTTTGCCTCGTCCGTAGCCGCTAGGCTTGAACCCTCGTCCGTCGGCCCCGTCTCGGCTCTATATGCCTCATGGGTGACGACGTTGGAAAGGACGGTGCACGAGCATCACGGAGTGGACGGCCCGCCTTCGTTATCACGTGGCAGAGGGTATTCTTTCAAAGTCGTTGAACATCGCGTGCCTAATAAAGGTAGGTTAGTGCCGTATCGAGATGTGGTTGCTTCATGGTGGGAGCGAGTCCACACGGTTCTGCATAGACTAAACAATCATCGTACACGGGGAAACGGCTATGCCCAACAATCTCAATTGCAAATTGCGCGTCGTAGCTTGTTGGATGAGTCACCTGATCAGGCCCACAGGGGCCTACGCGAAGGAATCGACCCGTCTTGGGAGGTTTGGAAAAGTGTGCTATCTCAGGGGCTCCAGAAGACCAGTATAAGCTTGCAGATTTTGTTCACTCGGCTAGGAAGATAGCAGCTCGCTGTCGGTGCCGTGCCATGCGAGCCTCGATTGCTGAGTTCCGAGATTGGATGGCACAGCCAGCTGCATCAGGCGTTTTGCACCGTGCGATGCGGCAAGAACCTTTGCCCTTAGACGAGGTTACAGTCGGCCAACAAGTTGTATTTCACCCACGGGATATTGTTGATGCCGAAGCGAAGGTTTTTAGAGACCTCTGGGCCCCTGGACCTCTGGAGGAAACCAAGGTTCTGGAAGCTTTCGAACGAGCCCGAGTCGAGGCTCGTCAGGATCCCCTGGAGCCAATCTCAGTTTTAGACAATCGCCAGGCAGCCCATGCGACGCGCCCTCGTGCAGGCATGGGTGTCGATGTCTTGTCGCCGACGGACGTCGAGCGACTGCCAGATGTTGCCCTGGACGAGTCAGCCCGCATGTATGGAGTGATTGAGGAGACCCTCACATGGCCATCACAGTTGGGATTAACCATAGGGCGCATGATCCCAAAAAAAGCCTCAGGGGACAGGGTCATAGGGCTGCTCACGATGGTTGCTAGAATGTGGAGTCTCACACGCGAACCCTTGGTCAAGACTTGGGCCAACGAGTCCGAGCCCATGTGGGACGCTGCGATTTCAGGAAATGCTGCTTTACGAGAGGCTTTTATGAGAGTCTGCGAGGAAGAGGTTTCAGGCACCCTTGGGATTCCCACGGGCCACGGGCTTCTGGACATCCAGGGTTTCTACGACGCCATGGAATGGTTTCTACTTATACCTGCAGCAATGCGTTTGGGATTTCCGTCTGTTGTTCTGGTGCTAGAGCTTGTGCAATGCCTCATGCCTCGTGCTGTAGGTCAATGTGGAGCGTTCGCCGAACCCATACTCCCAACGAGAAGCATCGTGCAGGGTTTACGAGGAGGAACCAGGTTTGCGAGGTGCCTTACGTATTTTATATGATCAAAGATTACTACCGCACATCCAGGTATGGGTTCGAGGATTTGGATAGATGATCTATCTCAGCGGGTCCATGCATCACGAGTACAGCTGCGCCAAAGATTACTATCAGGTCTTTTGGACACCTGTCGAGCCCTCCAGCGCGAGTCTTTGACTGTTTCACCAAAGAGCATCATCCTGTGCTCTAACATGGCCGATGCGAAGTATATCTCCATGAAACTCCGAGTTGCAGGTTTTGTTGTCCACCCCCAATCTCAGGCTGGATATCTCGGGGTGGATTTGGGAGGAGGTATCCGACATGCTCGCCAACAACGGTCGAAAAGAGTGGTGAAAGGCAAACAGATGCATCGGAAAGTAATCGGTTTTGCACGTGCAGCTCGGCGGTACGTCGTTACCAGCAAGCTGACAAGAGTCGGCACCCTGTCTGCCCAGCTCTACGGGCACCAGTTGCACGGAGTCTTTGGCACCGCTATGCTAGGGGCTCGACGGCAGCTCGGAGCGGCGTGCGGCACTGGCAAGAAGGGCCGATGTTTGACAACGCTGTTGGATATCAGATGCCCTGGAGGGGACCCAGCACGTATTTTGCCGCGAGCCTGCCTCGACCTCTGGCTTCGCCAGTGGCTGTCGCTGCCGACAATCAGGCCAGGCATATCTCGGGCTTGGCCCAAGTTATTGGAACGTTTGCGAAGTACCCCTGAGAATCAGAGATCTCGGTGTGTTCGGGGTCCCACTGGTGCCGTTATATTGTATTTGCTCCAAGCAGGTTGGGACCCCGCGGAGCCCTCGCATTGGAACGCTCCAGGGGATTGTGATGATTTAGCTGCTTGGCGTTTCCCATCTTCAGAGTTGGCTGGAAACCTGATCGAGGATAATCCAGAACCCCTCTTGGACGATTTCGACCAGACCATCCAGAATCAGCTTTGGAGGAACGCTTCTCAACACTATTGTGGAGAAGGTATGCAGTGGGGGATCGATAATTATTCATTACGTCGCTTGTTGAAGCAGCTGCTTTTCGCTCCACACGGGAATCGTTTAAGTGAGTTGCTTGTCTCAGTGGCCACAGGCGGAGCCTGGCCACGAGTGCGCCGACATGAGCAGCTGAAAGGAAACCAAGATGTTTTATGTCCCAGGTGTTCCGAGGAGCCCGAGACCCCATTCCACAGGTTCTGGGGATGTGCTGAGAACAGGGGCTGTAAGGCATATACTGATTCTGAATCGCTCACGCCGGCAGCGTACGCAGGTGCAGATTCTGAAGCATGCTTTTGGCTGCGGGGCCTCATCCCAGCAGCGTGGACTGCAGTGCCGCAGCCTCCGTCTCTGGAGAACTGGCACATTCGAGGCAGCTCGTCGAACGATCTTGAGGGATGTTTTG